AGACCTCTCTACAACATAAATCATTTTTTGCCACCTGTCCAGTTCTGCATATACAACTAAAACATTGTAATTATACAGGTGCTTCTAAACAGGCAAGAAAACAGTCAAGAAACATGAGGAGCTTGAGCAGAACCGCGTGGATGTGAATTTGAACCTTTCAGATTTCTAGAATTGCTATCATGAAATTTGTGCCTTATTCGCTACACTACTTGCCTACATGAAAGCAGCATCACGGAACAACGGAGAGATTAAAGTGATATTTCGACATTAGACCGTTAGAAACTTAGAAAGAGCTGTTAGACAAACTGTCACAAACGAATTAATCAACGTCGGAAATCCAGTGCACAAAAAATGAAGTTAGGCTGATGATTAAAAAAGCATCTTTGGGGGTGAGACGCTAACTGCAATTACGTAGAACAGAAATACTCACAGTTGAACTAGAACCGTAAGTCCTGCCCAGTTACTTTTGAAAAATAACAATACGTCATTAGAAGCCTAGAATCTGAGCGCCCCAAATGCAACACATGTGCAAAGGGATATTGATGAATAGTTTACATTAAAAATATAGTGCCTCTTGGCAGCTTGTCAAAATTCTGGCTTTGAGATTTGATCGTTAATTGCAGCTTTAATGCTTGTGATTCGTTGTTTAAAAGATCCGCAAAATGATTTGATTCCATTGCTGGCCTTAAATTGTAAAGATCTCTTTTGAAGGGAAACGTGTGATTTGGAGCAAACCCAGCACTATTGGCACATTTCCACGTAATTCGTGCTTATGCGAAGCCTTGTAAAGACTAGACTTTAGTGTCTTTCTTGTGCTCGATTATATTTGTTTTTCGTGTTAACAAGGAAGTTATTTGTAAAGTTACGAGGCATCTTGTGGACCACCTAATTTTTGTTTGCGTAATAATTAGACCGGTTCTGGAAGCTTGCTCTCTTATTCAGTCTTTTGAATCTTGGATGTGGAGGTGCTGATAAGGCAACTCAGGAAATGGCTGCTTTATAATACTAGTCCTGTTAAAGGGTTGGGGGAAGGTGACGCACTACTTGGTTAGAAGTACAGATTGTAACCATCCGTGGCTTCTTTTTTATAATTTATATGTACTTTTTTGAAGAAGCAAAACTTCAACTTTTTTTAAGTCAACTTTATTTAAAAAGGTATTGCGCACAATAGCGAGATATTATAATTCACGCGGCTTGGGTACTTCGCTGTAGCGAGTTATGGAATTAATTTAGAAATGTTAACGTCGATGTATGATGTGTCATCGGTAGTTTCTGGTTCGCTTTGATGCTTCTGGCCTTTCTACTGCCAGAATTTTAGCAGAGCTATGATAGCATTTTTGCTTTTTGTGGGCTTCTATTCACCAGATCGCTGTAATAAGTTAACTAAACGCTCACGCCTGAAGTTATATCTTTTCAATCTTTATAACCAGTAGTTAAAAAGTTGGAAAAAGTAAGGCAAACGTTCTAGTTGATGAGGAAAACTGTTATGATTCAAAAAAGAAATCTGATTTTTAATTGGTGAGAAAGAAGTGGAAAATAATAAGCAAGCACTGGAGGCCAAGTAGCTTATCATTTTTTACAGGTGAAATGGTGTTTATAATGACGGAAAAGAATAGAGGCTAAACGCATCAGAAATGAAGGTTTTGGGAAAGAGAGTCAAGAGAATGAAGAAAGCAATTTTTCTCAACGCATCTGGGCAAACGACTGCAGCTTGGGAAGTAGCGTGTTAAAAAGGTCTAAAAACTTGGAACGTCAGATGGCAACCAAATTGTGGTCATATAGTTGTGCATAATTAGTGCATCTTTCGCATTTTCTTGGTTGGTTCTTACGTGTATTCAGTAAAGAATGTATTCTTATTGGCCTTCATTCAAATGATTAGGGATATTTATACGTGGAAGCTCTTTTATGCATTGAAAAGGTCAGGTGAAGGTTCATATTTCAAGTTGGAAGTTAAGAGCTTTTTGCCGTTTGTGTAAAGGTTAAGTGGGACTTATTAAGGATTAGCTTTCTCAGTCGGGAACTAAAAGTTGTGGTTTTTTCGCCACAGAAAGACTTGAGAAGATCAGTAGAAGTTTTATTGTTTTGCCTGCTGTGGAAAAGTTTTTTCTGGAAACCGTTGAAGGAGTGTTCAGTATGTCCTTCTAGCTGTTTACCAGCAGTAGAGAATAAAATAAGCTGTCTAAAAGAATCTTATGATTTATATGTTGTCTGAAATGGTATTGCAATTATTGTTTTCGTTAGGATGAGAGCAGGTGTTATAATTTCTGGAAATGAAATGACCAATTCAGAAATAAAATTGTTGACCTCATTGACTCAACGCTGAGTGACGGTAAAGCAGGAGAGGTTTTGTCACACCGAAGTTTTGCACGTGTCGTCTCAAAATCTCAGTCACATATGCTTGTATTATGCTTTAATATCTATTTTTATTGTGTTACACATGGCCGGTTGATCTATTGTTTATATACAGTTTTTATACTTTTGTTTCTTGTTCATTTGGTATGTCAGGGTT